TTTGCGTTGCTATTGAAAGTTCAACTTGCAAAATTACATTTTAAGATAGGAATCTAGAGAATAAAAAATGTATGAAATATGTTAAAACAGTGCAAGGAAGAGGCGTAGGAGGCATGACAGCAAGCACCATCGAATTGTACCACTCCACCTTTCTTTGTTTTAGTTTCGATCTTTCCATTCATCCGTTTCTCTATCCAGTCCACCGACTTTGTTCATTTCGATTTGTGTCTGTCTTGTCTTATCTCACTCTCCCGCTTTCGAAGAATCCTCCTTTCTCTACCAACAACTTAGCCTTGCCCGTGTCATGTGATTTTTCTCGCAAAATCCGATGAATCGGCCATTGAGGTTGCCATTTTCTTATCTCATCTCGTCTGGACAGCGCCGATGGGCAGTTCCGACCTCGCATGGTCTGGCTTCATTAGCATCGTCAGCGGAATTCGAGCCCGTTTCCCGCGGATTCTGGCAACGACGCCACTCCAGTTGCCAGCCACGGCTGCCCGTAGGTCATAGAGAGAGACTGTGGCATTGAAAGCAAAACAAACGGTCTTTCTCAACACCATCACACTTTGCATGTATGCATTCAAAAATGTTATGACAGTCTCAAAGCCTACTACTGTCAATGGAAATAAGTAACGTCTTCAATGGCAGTAGCAAATAAGTGCTTTCCTAATCGTCACCGCCACTGGAAATGTGATTCGTTAGAGACCTAGCTTGCCTTGATGGCCAAATCCACCCTCTCACCCACAGTCGCTAGTGGCTACATTGTGGAATGATATTGTTGCCAGGATACTTACGAGGCGGCATCTAACCTCGTTTGTGGTACGAGGTGGGAACTGCAGTCCAGCCAGACAAGTCCGAGTGAAACTCAATGGCCACGTGAGGCCAACTGATGTGATTGTGTGGAGTAATTAAATCATCATTCTTTATTTGCCACAGCAAGTGACCTTGGCCGACAAAGTTCATATTAAATATGTTTCGTTTTTGTAGGTAGATTTTTTTAAGACTAACTGTAGATAATTTGTATATTAAGTGTATTTCCCCTATTTCTTTTAAGCTGATAAAAAGACTGTTAATTTCAACTTTTCCACAATGCTAAGGGTATACATTACATTTCTATTCTATTTCAAATTGCTTTGCTTCCGAAAAGGTGTTCTCATCCCAACTTGAGTAGACTACAGTTTCGAACAAATCACCGTATGAAAGCTGTTATCACCTTGGCTCGTGGGTAGTTGAATTTTCCCACAATCATATGAATAGAACTTACACTTCCACTCAATTTCACATAGCCCTGCTTCCAAAAAGATATTCGTATCCCCTTACAGAATGTGATATGGGAAATGGCCTGGTCTTTGTTGAAATTCACATCTGCCCTGTGACCCAAGACCAGCTGTGGCAATGTGGTGGGGTTATTCCCATCTCACGATTATACACTGCACTACCAGGACTCAAGTTCGAATCCCACTTGAGGAGCTGATGAAGCCAGTTTATAAGAAGCCTAAACTGCAGTCCACTCCTGAGAAGCAAGGCTATGTGAAATTCCAATAAACATAAGGTCTACTACTCATATTTTTCATATATAAGTAGACTTTCGAGATTACCAGATGTATTCACCCTATTTCGATTAAAGCAGATTTGACGTTTCTATTGAATTTCACATTAATTTGCTCTCCCAAAAGTTGTTCTCATTCAGACTAAAGTGAACTGAAATTTCTACCCAGCCTCGGTCCTATAAACATCCCCAGTGGGACTCGAACCATGAAATTGCAGCATGTAAGCTTCACACATTAACCACTCAGCCACATTGTCACGAGTGCCCTTGGGCCACAGAGAAGATGCGAACTTTAAGGAAGGCCAGACATTTTGCTGTATCACATTCTTTGTTGGGACTGTTGAAGTAGCAAAGTGTTTATTGCTCTAATAATCTACTACATTCCCTATGCTTCATAACTACTGTCATTATCCTTATTACCTGAAACGAAATGTGGTGAATACACCTTTTATTAAATAATTATACAATTGTCTCTTTCGTTATTTGCTTGCATCAGACTGGATGTTTGGTAATGTTGAATGATTGGATAGGGATAGCTTTTTGACCCTTTTCACTCCTAAATCGGCCATTTTGATGGTACAGCTGGTCTTCCGGTCCAGTCTGTTTTAGGCCAACTGGAAGAGGGCACTAATTTCGGCCACGAAAGAGCGCTTGTTCGAACAACTCCCGCAGAGTAGAAATTCTACTTGGCGTAATGGAGGCAAATTTATTGGAACCAACTTCCGGCAGCTCGAGTGGGTATATGATTTGTATTCACTCTATTTCATTGAAGGGGATGCAGGACTGGTAGTTGATTTCACCTACAATCACATGAGTAGAGCTGACGTGATGTGAAATTGAATGGAGAACATCTCTACCCCTATGATTGTGGGAAAAATCAAATACCAATCCTTCATTACGTTTAACGAAATAGGATGAATTCAATTCATAAATTTGATTTACTGTTAGTCTCGAAAACCTACTCACTTACGGCCACGTTGAGAATGGCCGGTTTCGTCCAAACATGGGCTCCTCCTTCAATGTTGGAGTACCTTTTTATTTGATTGGAAGAGGCGAGTGGAAAGAGATCGTAAGTTTCTCTCATCGCAAGTCGAAATAAGGGGTTGAATTGGGGTTGTGACTGTAGGTTTGTGCGAATAAGACATCGGCTCACCGTTCCCGATTACTCGATATCCCTTTTGACTTCCGGTCAGACTATCTTACAAATCTCTCACATTCGCTTGTTATGGTCAAATGAAAGGTACTCCAACGTCACTTCGAAAGCCATATTTCCCACTTCTGCAAGGTTAGAGACGTAATACCAAGTCTGGATTCATTTGTGCTCTGATTAAGAGTCTACTTAAAAACTAAAATAACTAATGCCGTAGGTTGCTATAGTAACTGCAACTTTGTTTCGTAGATAATCCCACAAGAAAAATGTGATAGGGCAGTGGAATAGGCTTCCTTGATAGTCAGGCGTAGTCTTCAATATGTCGAGCTTATACGCTGCACTACCACAGGCTGGGTTCGGATCGCGCTGGGGGCGTTGATGCGACCAGTTGAGGCGGGGTTCAACCTGCAGTCCAGTAAATTACAGTTGGGATGAGAACATCTTTTGGGTGGTTTATATCATATAATTGTAGGAAGAGTAAAATATCAGTCCTCCAGAGTGTTTATTATGCAAAATTCATCAGTACTTTCAAAATCTATTCAAACTGAGCTTAACTTAAGAGCGAAATCAGCCCATGATGCTTAACCACCTCCCTCCCGAAGGGACTCGAGCCTGGCTCGTGAGTATCGGAGTGATGTTGCTACTCCACTCCACTCGACTGCACAGCCACGTGTGTCAGTGAGTCACAGGACAGACGCAACCTTCAAAGCCAGTCAGGCTCCTTCGAGTTCACATAATAATTGGTTTTGACAATCATGCATGCGCGTTTTTCCATTTCAATTAACAACGCTACTTATTTGTATATAAGTAGCTATGACTACTTCTTTAAATAGAGCCCCTCCCCAGTGGATGATTGCCTGTAAGAGTGTGACTATCAAAAATGGAAGTATGCGCATCAGTCACACCCAGTGATTGTATGCTTTCTGTTCTCCCTTCCAGCGCCTGCCTCGCCCACCCAATTGGTCTGCGTGGGACTCGGTCACGACTTTCTCGCCGTCGCCTGGCAACCTCCACACGGCGAGAAGTATGCGATCAGCTCGTACATGGGCAAACTGACCTCGGCGAAGACCTCCTCCAGCTTTCGAACTTGGCCTGACCAGCGCAGTCACAAATTCACGCAACTGAAGCCGGCCGAGGAGTACGAGATCACGGTCCTGGCAATCGTTGATCCGAATATCCAAGGCCTTGGGGGCGGAATCGGACCCTACCTCGACCCACCTCTGAAAGTGTCCACCTTACCCTCGAGTGAGCTTCTGTCTTCACGAGTTGTCTGCTCCTTTGTCCACGAGAATGCAATTTCGCTGGAATCTCGTTAAGTTCCTGCTCCCTCTGCTCCCAACTAGCGCCGATGCAGCTCATTTCGGCTCTCGAGTCTCTGTCCCACTTGGACTCTCCAGACAGGATTTGAGCCCATCGCCCCTTTGACTTCATCCCAGTCGAACCTGTCAGAGCCGGAAATTGTTGATAAGACTCGTTTCGTTTGTACACTTGTCCGCTTGTCCGCTTGTCCGCCTCAATCGGACCCCTCCTTTTGCACTTCTCGACAAAGTGAGCTAACTTCGAGGCGATATTGGACGATGCACGAATTGCTGTCTTTGCACAAAACTCGGGACAGTGCAAGGATCATGCATCGCTCTGGGGCACATGGTCTTGTTGGCCATCTGCAAATGGTACAGCTCCAGTTTGTAGATCAAGCGTGATGATTATGTTCCTGTTGGCTTAGCTTTCAGTTAGTTTGGAAAGACGGCTGGAATGGCTTTTCAGATC